TGGACTGTCGATTGTGGTTTCTCCCTCTGTGTCCTTATTTGGTTGTTCCTGTCCTCATTATCAGTTAATCACCTTATTGTGCTCACCTGTCTGCCCCTCGTTATCTGCCCTATATCTGTTCCTGTCTCTTGTAGTCTAGTTTGTCGGTTATTGTAAATGCCAATGTCAATGTCCATGTTCCTGTCTATGTTGATGTCTACCCTGTCTGGATTGCCTGTTTCTTTATTAAATATCCTTTGATTTGTCATCTTCGTCGTCCTGCCTGGTCTCTAGTACGCCCTGCCCGTGACAATTATATTATATTATATTATATTATATTATATTATATTATGTTTTCTATTTTAATTTTTCACAAATGTAATAAAACATTTTAATGTTAAATACAAATGTTAAGTAAATCCAAGCTAAGTAAATGAGTGTCAACCATCATGTGATGCTCTTTGTAACATCTCACATCATTTAGGAGAACATGATCATCAGGTTTTGTTCATGTATCTCCTGTTTTTCTGTCATTCAAATAAAAGAGACGCAGACCAAATATTGTGAGAGGCAGAAAATGGACAGAAGAGAACTGTGCTGTGAGCAGCTGTGTTTGGTATGTGAGAGTCTATATTCCAGCTGACGGATCCTTTTACCTTCACACACACACACACACACACACACACACACACACACACACACACACACACACACACAGCTGGAGTGTTTAACTCTTGTGTTGTCGAGAGGTGATGCTCTTCCCATTTGAGTCTTCCGGAGAAAGACACAGAAGCTCTTATATTAAACTGTGTCACTCCCTCTGCTGCTATTAACTTACCGCACTCCCCTCACACACTTTCCACAGCTCTGTGTGTGTGTGTGTGTGTGTGTGTGTGTGTGTGTGTGTGTGTGTGTGTGTGTGTCTTTGAGTTCGTGTGAGGGAGTAGATTAGCTGTAAGTAGATTCCTCCTTTTCCTTCCCATCTTTCTCATTTCAGAGTTATGAAGCCATACAGCCAATAGAACAGGACTCGTTCCAGAGCTCTGTCTCTCGCTCGCTGTTTCTGACCATTAAAAAGGTTTCAACCACAGACTAGATTTTTGCATTTTCTGAAGCCATTTGCAAAACTCACCACCAGCACGATGCTATGGTGTTCTAAATGGTTTCTAAGGTCCTTTGAGTGGTTGCTAGCGAGGTTATTACAGTTTTGCATTTTTAAATTAGTTTTATTGTAATATCGTTTTCAAATTTGCAATAAAATTCAGTTTCGTTTTTATTCGTTTCATTAATAATTTTTTTTGTTTTAGTTTAGTTTTTATTTTGTGAACACATTTCTATTTAGTTTTTATATAGTTTCAGTTTGAGTAATTAAAGTTTAGCAGAATTAACAGATCACTTCCAGATCGCAGACCAAAGAAAGATTTAATTTAATCTTAGTGACACAAACAACTAGTGACAAAATTAAAGCATGCTGAGATTGATTAGATGGTAATAGTATACAAATATATGCCAAAATGAAGCAGTCAGGCCTTTTTACTCCATAAATCTATACAAGTTGCGCTTAATTTAATATACACTGTCATATTTAAAAACACTAAACTGAACGATAAATGTATGTTGTGATATTTAATTTGAAAATAAATGTAATTTGTTTATATTAGATGTCTTTTATCTTATTTATCCATAATCATGATACTGTAACTGTTGTGTCTTGCTCACTTTCCCGGGAATAACCGCGCATAAATCATTACTGGGACTAATGAAATTCAATAATTACGATGGAGTCTCAACATCTTTTCACCCCGTTTATTTTAAAGGGGTCATAGGATGCCCATTTTCCACAAGTTGATATGATTCTTTAGGGTCTTAATGAAAAGTCTGTAACATAGTTTGGTTAAAATTTCTCAATGGTAGTGTAAAAAACACCTTTTTTACCCTGTCAAAAACAGCTCTTTTCAGATCAAGCTGTTTTTGTAGCATTTTCCTTTAAATGTTAATGAGCTCTGCTGACCCCGCCCCTCTTTTCCGAGCTGCTCTCAGAGAGTGTTTATTTTAGACTGTTTATTCATCGTGAAACTTGCTAATTAGCACATTATTAGGAAAGGCGATTTGCAAAGATTCATTACAAAACATTATACAAAACTTCTTACAATAGCCTATGTGGTGATGCGCATGGCAGGTGGGTAAATTTCCCTCTCAACCAATGCATCAATCGTCCCTTACCTGATCATACATTTCGCAGTGCGCTTTAAATCAGAGTCCTGCACGCGGTTGACTCCACGTTGCGGGTCGGGGAATCAGTAGTCACGGGCGGACTGCGGGTCCAAAAGCCAAGACTAGCTATTTAGACTCGCTTTAGACGATACCCGCTTGAAGCTGCCTTCAGACTGCCCCGTGCTTATTCGTGTTCACGATCTGTAGTCTGAAGATTTCTATTTACAATTTATTTTTGATCATTATTATTTTATTTCAGTTCGTTTTTCAATAACTGTTGTTAGTTTAATTTCATTTTAGTTTTTCATTTATTTTGACATTTTTATTTTATTTCAGTTTACGGAAATCTTTTTTGATCAATCGTTTTCATCTTAGTTTTAGTTTTTGTTTACGAAAATAACCTTGGTTGCTAGGGCATTGCTAA